TTTTCATGCTGGATTGCTTGCTGGATGGAAATACTCTGTTCTGATTGCATTTTTGAAGACGGATTAATCACATGGTACATCTGGTGCAATAAGTGCAATAAATTAGGGCGCATTCACCTTGGCAGAAAGCAGAAAGATAGAAAGCCAATCAGAACTCGCGCTCGTAGAAAAACAGAAACTATCAACTACATAGATAATAATCAACAGTTTCTGTTTTTGTATCAATCCTAGATATTACACGTTTTATGCGTTTTTATACGTATTTTATCGTATAATGTAAAAAACCTAGGAAATGCTAAAAAGCTCAATCCTAACTGTGATATCCGATTCGGCCATGACGGGTGTATATCAGTTGGACACGGGGCAATTGGACACAGTCCAATCACAAGTCGCTGTTCCAAGGGACCCTACAAATGTCTCTAATCATACGGTGCTGTGATTGGCTGTGTCCAAATGCACCGTGTCCAAGTGCACCGCTCCCGGCCATGACATCTTACAACAAAATGGCCACTCCCGCTTTTTTCAGTTACTGCATGAGACGTACGAGAATATTTTAATTTCTTTTTCAACTGTAATAAAATCAAATTTGTTACTGCCAATATGTAAAAAATACTTATAACATTAATAACATTTATTGTAGTAACGGGCACAGAAAATAATAATAAAACATTAATGTTATTATAGTAAAAAATATATTTTTTATTACGACAAGTGCATACAACGCAGTATTATATTTGTAACTATATATATATATATATATATATATATATATATATATATATATAATAAATTAATAGTTTTTAATATATGATATAATTAACATCTGTATTATTCACTTATGGTTTCAATATACTTTTCCATGCAACTGCAGGCATAGCAGATACAAGAAGCTAGTGCCAAATTAAATCGAAGTGCAAGATTCAAAAGAAATATTGACATCCGCAGGAACAGGTCCCAATGAGTTGCGGCCACGCTGCCGTGAAGAATAGCGCTCGAACCCTAGCACGGGATCAGATCGCAATTTTTCGGGCTAAACGAATCGCGTGATTCTACTCGGGGATCCGTGCGATCAAGGGTAGTCGCGATGAATTTCGTGCAAGACGCGTAGTATAACCACCGTAGTGTAACCTTACGGTGGGTCAGATAGTCGCAGGCTTTAATCGTAGTTTCGCGCGTATAAAAATAATGTAGATAATGACTTACCAGTGGTCGTCCACCGTGTGGTTGCTCTCTGTACCCCTGGATGCCGCTCTCGTGGCTTACATGGATCGGCATCTTCTGGACCTCTAGGTGCTGCCGATTCTGGATCGCGCGGCGGCGAGTTCGAATATTCGAATCACTTGTAATTGACCGATGGGCACTAGGGAGGAGCACCGCACGTCGCGGTTTCGCTTAGGCGCAGGAGGAAATGTGCCGTGTAAGGATGTTCGAATGGGAGAGAGTAGAAATAGAATTACTACAGATATATATATATATATATTTGTATTATTTGCACCGGTTGAGGAGAGGCAACGGGCATACATGGACAGCAGGTCTTAAAGGATAGCAACCTTTAACTTTGAGAGACTGACAGCTGTACCATTTGGTACAGTAACATTGTTTCTCTCTGTAGTCGCCGTGCGCTCGGGATCGCGCCAGAGATGTCGCTTCCGAACGGCATCTCTGAGCGTTATCTGGGAAGAGGAGATTGTCGTGAGCGTGGAGCGTCAGATAGCTCAGTGGTTTAGAGCTGTCGCCCGGCAAGCGAAAGACCCGGGTTCGAGTCCCGGCCTAGCAGAGCTGCGCTCTCGATATTTTTCTCTTTCTGAAACGAAAAGATACGCAGATCTCGAACGCACGGCGCCACCTAGTATGCTCTCCTCCTTCTATATATATATATATATATATATATAGCTAGTAGTAGCAGTAGCTAGTAGTAGCAGTACTAGCAGTAGAGCAGTGACCGGCGTAGCAGTCAGTCAAATCGGGTGGCGGGATTGGAAGTCCAAAGATAGTCCTCACCTCCAAATCCTATTTGTTGTATAATTCACTAATTCTAAACTTTGGTTTCCTCTAATTCTTAAGCAATTAACTTTAGGTTATCTTTAACATTTACGAGCGTTTTATTCGGGTGTATATCAATTGGACACAGTCCAATCACAAGTCGCTGTTCCAAGGGACCCTACAAATGTCTCTAATCATACGGTGCTGTGATTGGCTGTGTCCAAATGCACCGTGTCCAAGTGCACCGCTCCCGGCCATGACATCTTACAACAAAATGGCCACTCCCGCTTTTTTCAGTTACTGCATGAGACGTACGAGAATATTTTTATTTCTTTTTCAACTGTAATAAAATCAAATTTGTTTTTCACTGCCAATATGTAAAAAATACTTATAACATTAATAACATTTATTGTAGTAACGGGCACAGAAAATAATAATAAAACATTAATGTTATTATAGTAAAAAATATATTTTTTATTACGACAAGTGCATACAACGCAGTATTATATTTGTAACTATATATATATATATATATATATATATATATATATATATATATA